CCACTTCCTAGCCCAAGATATAAATGATTCTACTCTAAAGTTATCTGTCTCCTTTCCATCCTTACGTGTCTTCTCTGTTCCTGTGCTGCAGTTCTCATACTGCACTGTATGGGTTGCTAGGCCCCAAGTATCTCTAATCACAAAATTCTGAATCACCTCAGTCTCTAATTCCTTGGGTGAATTCTCTTCTAACCACCTTCCAGCTCTCAAACAAGAATATAATGAAATTCTTGTTTGGACGTGACTATATATTTTGTTTACAGTGCTACTCACAAGCTCAGAATTTGTCTTTCCTATTTATCTTAACAGCCAAACACTTGGATCTGTTCATTCAAATCTATTAATTAACACTTTTAGCCCTGTGGCCTGTAACCTTCATTTAATTTAATCACATACTTCTATAACCCCTGATATGCTATTTAAGTCTTTGGGGAAATATTTACAAATATTTTACTCACCTTTCATTACCTTTTGCCTAATGATTGACAAAGTAGGTTTGCTTTTTAATAAAAAAAAAAATCTTTCAGGATAGCCCAGCTGAGATAGCTATCAATTGGTTGGACGTCAACCTATGAACCAGGAGGTCAGGGTTCAATTCCACTCAGGGTACATCCCCAGTAGAGGGTGTGCAAGGGGCAGCTGATCCATGATTTTCTCTCATCATTCATGTTTCTACCTCTCCCAGTCCTTTCCACTCTGAAATCAATAAAAATATATATTTTTTAAAGGAATTATAAAAAAAATCTTTCAGGATACAACTTTCAATAATGATAAGGATGTGATAAAATAGATCACTTGCATTGGCAATTTTATATATTTTACTTTTAGAATACTAAGTAGATCATTTTTCATTTTTTTATAAAGCAAAAATTAGAAAATGTGCATAAGACAGAACGTAGAAATGTAGAAACTCTGTGTCTTTTTCTGAAACGGTGTAGCCTATATCAACACCCAATATTATTGTGCAGGAAATTGGATTAGCTTGAAAGCCGTGCTACACCTTTGGTCTATGGTATGAACTGTGTGTGTTGAATGATTTTACCTACGTCAAAGGAAAAGGAGTGTTGGTCTTTGATTGCTCTTTTTATTTGTTTCATTTGTTTATTTCTTTTAATTTTTTTCTTATTGCCAATACCTTTTATATTCATTTGGGGGGAAACAAAATTTTTAAAAAGGACATTTTTTAAAAGCATCATTACCAACCAGAGAAAATTAAAACTACCTTTAGGACACTGTTCCCAGTGTCTCCATCCAGATCTTTTTGCATTTGTACTTTCCCCCCCTAAGAATATAAAACTTCCTCAACAGACAAGTTATTTTTCTTCATATTCCCTGTTCATATTCATATTCTTACGCAGGTTTCCCGAACTACCTAATTTAGCAAGATATGTTTCTTTCTTTTTTTATATGAATTTCTTTGTTTCTCTGTGTGTGCCACTGAAGAGCCTCTGGCAGTTGAATTTGTCTGTGTCCTCAAGCGTTAGGGTAATTCCTCATTTAGTATGTGTCCCAGCCAAAACTAAGTTCAAATGTCTGCTTCCTCTCTCCCTTTCTCCATGTCAGGAACATATTTTAAGTCAATAAATATTTATTTACAACAGCATTTTCAAAGGTACATTCTATTTTATTGATGAACATAACTTATTCAGACACCCTCTATAGTTGGACGTTTATGGGGTTTTCCCGTGTGTGTTTATTTTGCTGTTGTAATCCATTCTCAGTAAATAATCATTCTTGCTAAATCTGTACACATTGCTAAGATTTTCTTTAGGACCAATCCTAAAAATAGAATCGATAGGTTAAAAGGTCGGCTTATTTTTTTAAGGTTTTTTATGTATTTGCCAAATTGCCCCTCAGAAATCTATCACTGAGACCACCAGCAACATTGGAAATTTATTATATTACGAGACCCTTTCAAATTCTGTCTTTTAAAGTAATTGGTGATGTAATGGGTCGTGGCTTCATTAAGCACAATGAGCATTCCAAATGACACCCGTGTTTGCAGAGTCTTTACAAGTATTCTATAAATCAAGAGCCCGAAAACTTTAAAATGTATGGTTGATAGTTTGTTTGCTTTAGGTTTAGGTGACGTCCACTGAGGACAGTAAAATAAGCCAATAGTGATACCCTCACATCAGCCTCCCTCTCTCAGAACAGCATTCCAGCACAACTACTTATAAACGCATCCCTGGTGATCTCGAAGTTTTAAGGAGATGAAAAGTAGATCCATCTTAACAAAAAGTCTAATAACCCTTTCTGGTAGATAATGCATTATCCAAGTTGCTAGGTTGAAGAGAAGTGTACTTCTTTAAAACCAAATGCTAATTAAAATATTAACCTACATGCTGATTTATCATTTCCATTTAGTATTTTATTGTGTCCCGTTTGATTTTGGCCAAGTTTTTTATGCCCTTTATATCCAACCATGAAAATTAAAAAGCAGAAATCAGAAGGCCCAGTAAGCCATATTTTGTGAGTATATCTTTGACTTCCCTGATAGATAAAGTAGGTGGGGTTTTTAGAAAATATGTTTGGGGCACAAATTCTTACATAACAGGAACACTAGGTTACTGTGACTCTGTGGGCCTTTGTTATTATTTTCAAAGCCTTTGCTCAACCAAAAACTGCTTTTTCTATGCCATGCCATGCCTTTTCTGATGACAGCATACTATGAAAATCTTACGTTGCATTCGGCGTTTATTTGCTCAGAGTCCCTGGAACAAGAGATATCTAGAGGAGCAAAGCATCCACTAGTTAAAGGGGACCTTATAGATATTCCAGTTCAAGATGTTTAATAGATGCTTAATGGTTGATGATGGTGATGATGGTGATATTGAGAAAGAGGAAGAGAATAGTTTTTGGAGCTCATATGTCCGGCTTTCTGCTTAATGCTTGCTTACATTTTCTTACTTGTTAAAACAAACTCCAGAAAGGGAAAAAGCTCCCCCAAGATCAGTCACTAAAGCCAACGAACAAACCGGAATTCATGACTCCTAGTGTAGTCTACTCTCCCTTAGATAATGCTGGCTGCATGAAAACAGTTTCACACATTTTAACCTCAAAATGTTTCACTTTATAATTGCAAGTATTATTTCTACTGATGCTGTTATGTATTTACTGCATATAATACATGTTTGACCTTATTTTATCTAGTGCCCATATCCTTAATAATAATTATTGTAATTTCTATTCATTGAATTTTTACTTCAGACATATTATCTCTATTATTGAAAATAAGGAAGGAAAATTCTAATTTTATACATTAGAGGAAGCGGAGGCTCAGAGTAGAGCAATTAACTCTTTCAGAAAAAGCGAAGTTGGGATTCAAGCCCATGTTTATATGCCTCTAAAATGTTTTGTTTTTGTTGCTTATTAAAGAATAGCAAAATCAAGCAAGCTTAAAAATGATAAATTTGAGGTTTATAGAAGCATATACACTGTTCTCTTTGCTTCTCTCTTTCTCTTTATGCCTCATTTCTTGTTGAAACTAATGTGGTGGTTAAAATAATATACTTTACTGTATTTTTTTAAAATTTCATATTGAGCCTTTCCCCTCTTAAATATTTGGAGAAAAAGTACATACATTAATAAAATTAACAAGTTGTCCTATCCTTTTAGCAGATTTTACTCTAGGCTAGAGAAAAAAAATATTTTGTTTACTAAGACCAAGAAATTGAATAGAGATAAGAGCTCACCTCAGTGGGTCAGTTTTCTTATTTTCATCCTTTAAATGATGTATACATTTTTTCTAATGTTTTCTATTTTTTATTTTGTTTCTGTAATTATGTGTTATATGCTCAGATTGATCAGAATCAAAGTAAAGCAGAAACTATCACTTTCTCATACTAAGCCAAAAATTGGTGATACATAAATGAGTCTTCCTATTTCTTTTTTTTAAAAAATATATTTTATTGATTTTTTACAGAGAGGAAGGGAGAGAGATAGAGAGTTAGAAACATCGATCAGCTGCCTCCTGCACATCTCCCACTGGGGATGTGCCCGCAACCCAGGCACATGCCCTTGACTGGAATCGAACCTGGGACCCTTCAGTCCGCAGGCCGACGCTCTATCCACTGAGCCAAACCAGTTTCGGCGAGTCTTCCTATTTCTGCCATTCAGGCTGCTTCCTTCACATTCTTCCAGGCTTATGGGGCTAGATGGATAGCCTACTTCCACATTCTTTAACTTCTTACTCTGCCTCCTACCCCAGGCAGTGATTATGAGAAAATCCAGGTCCTCTCTCTGATTACTTCCATCCACGGAGTCAGTCCCGCAGATCAGCAGTCAGCTCGCATGCCTCCTGGACTCACTGATTGCTTTCTGACCACCTTCTAGAAAACCGATAATGATTTTTCGTTGCCAAATGAATGCAAGAGGAAAATCTTTTTTAATATTGACTTATGTCAATAAATATGAAACTATATGAAGTGAAATAAATTATGTTTAATTCAAAGCTAATGAAAACATCAATCCCTGTTAGAAGATTTCACTATTGCTAGATAAACTTCATTAGGTTTTTTCATAAAGTGAAAAAACTTGTTTTAAAAGGCCACTCTGAGCAATGGATGCTGTAATTTTTGCTATTTTTTGTAAAATGTTCCCACTCCATCGAATTTCTTTTTGAAGGCAGTAGGGAATCAATAGGGGAGGAATGCTTTGGAAACGTCCTCCTAAGGCTACACACCTGCCTCAGAGCTTATTTTCACTTGCAGGACAGCTCACTGATTTTTCATGAATTTTTTTCTTCCTCTGGCCATGCAAACTGGTGTCTTCTTTGACACCAGAAGTGAAACGATAAGTCCGTTTTCCATAGTCGTGTTAAGGTTCACCCTGAGTAGGAAGGCCCATTCATGACCCTGGTATTTGAAAAACTGTAATCCTCAAAATATGCCCCATCAATGATGGACTTCCATTCGATCTCAGATGTTTCCTCTAAAACACCTTTTCTGTCTTTTCCCTTTGACTCTCGTCTTCACTCTTAACGATCCACCGGCCTACAGTGTCTTTACCTCCAAAATGCAAAGCCGACAAGTGGGCGCCTCGGGGAAGAACATGACCAAGAGCACCAGCATCAGCGGCGACATGTGCTCGCTGGAGAAGAGCGAGGGCAGCCAGTCGGACACGGCGGTGGGCGCCCTGGGCCCCGGCGGCCACAAGCGGCGCTCTAGCATCGGGGCCAAAATGGTAGCTATTGTTGGCCTCTCCCGGAAAAGTCGCAGCGCTTCTCAGCTCAGCCAGACGGGTAGGCATTTTTCTGTTACTTTTGACGTCATCTCCGAGTTGTCAGTAAAGTACATATATTCTTTTTCTCTTACTCGTTTTATTGCAGTAACATGTGGACCGTGACCTGTTCCAGAGGGAAAGGGGCACTTTAAACTAGTCAGCTCTTCTGAAAATGGAGCAATGGTTTTGTTTTTTCAGGGAGGAACCTGCTCTAACTCCAACCGTGGCCACTGTTCTTGCAATGGGTCTAACGTCTTTCTTCCTCAGGGAGGGGTTGAGCCGCGGTCCCCCTGATTGCCGATTGCTGATCCTTTGTAAAGGTGCCCTGGCCTGTGGGCTCTTTGCTTTTCTGTAGCTTTTCTCAAGTTGGAACCAGCCCAGTTCATTTTCATGCCCAGCAAGACACGGTGATGAAGACGGCACCTCATGTTCTGTGCGAGTAATAGATTTTTATTGCTGACAGCCTAACTTCTTTTTCAGTTGTGAGCAGCAGTTACCAGTGGTATCAATTGCCTCACTGCAGTTTCTTTCCCTGTTAAAACTTCAAGCAACACCATTCTCCAGCAGCAGGGATGGAGGAATTTTCTGCTGACAGTGAAGATAGTCAAAGCTTTGCCAGTTTGAAATCCAGTCGCTAAGTCACATCCACCAAAATAAATTAGATACAGTGCTCCTACTCAGAAAAGCCTCTGTTAGCAATTAAGAAATCTGTGAGTCAAAGCAATGTCTTTTTCTCAAATGGGTGTTGATAATTAAACATTAACTCCCTGGTATCATGGAAATAATAGTGTATCTTCTACTTAACTAACAGACAAAAGCATATAATGTGGTGTTTCTTTTACAGCAAATAAATTATAGGCAGATGGATTAAATCTCATTTATGTTTGAATACTAATGTTCTTATACACAAAAGTCAAGACAAAAATGTGCAACACACAAAAAAATTTAAAGATACATAATTCCCTGGACCCGGCTGATCTTGATTTTACAAACTATAATGGCGACTTTGGAATTGGAGCCTTATGTAATGATATTATATTGAAATAGTTATTTGATGGTATTCCTTATAACCTGGTTGTAACTCACTATATTTAATATGATTGTTACAAGAATTTTTCATTTGGTGTTTCAAAATGTTATTTTGCATTTTAGTACAGAAATAGAAATTTGATTTATGAACATAAAGATCATATTTAAGTGATTTTTAATTGCTAATATTTATATATAATTAACTGTTTTAACTGTGTTGTGCTAATACGATAAATGTTAGCCTTTGAAATTTTTAATATATTTCTCTGGTAGAACTTAATTTATTGCACTTTGCTCTTTAAAATTTATAAACATCTATAAATCAAAAACTGCTCTAAAAATAAGGTTTATTAATTTAAAAAAGTTACGAACCTAAAACAGACAATAATAAGACTACAAGAGAATATGTGGTATTTAAATAATTGATTTCATACTGAGTTTAATTGTAGGACATTCAGAAGAAGTCTTTTAATTTTATTAAAATAAATGCTTTAAGGTTTTTGAGCATCGGCATATAAACAGAAATGCAATTTTAAGATAAAGGCTTGTTTTTCGTTGTTGTTGTTGTTAATACCTGAGAATATTTTTTCCATTGATTTTTTTTAAGAGAGAAAGTGGGAGACAGACAGAGAGACAGAGAGAAGCATTAATGGAAGAAAGACACATCAACTGGTTGCCTCCCAAATGCACCCCAACCATGGTCCAGGGAACCAACGTGCAACTGAGGTGTGTGCCCTTGGCTAGGAATTGAACCTGAGACCCTTCGGTACAAGGGCCGACGCTCTAACCACTTAAACACACCGGCTAGAATGGCAAAGGCCATTTTAAATGAAATTTCCATGCACTCTGAATAGGTATATGGAGCTACTGTTTGCCTTTTATTCAGTTGAATCCTATTCCAGTTACCTACTAGGAAGGCTTCCAAAGAGGCAGTAGCAGGTATTTGCTGGAAATTTAATAAAGCCCTAGCCGAACAGTATAAAATTCTACCCGGAGTAGCGCTAGCTCATTCCTCCAACAGATGGAAACGTAGGAGTGTTGGCTCATTGTCCCCTTGGGCTTTGAAAGCTGTTTGGTCCCGAAGTCTTTGTAGAGTGAAAAACACGAAGGCAGCATTCATCTTTCCTCTCTGATGCTGCTCTAAGTGGACAAATTCTTCTAACTTTTGACTGTTAGAGGAAGTTGTGTGTGTATTAACTGACACTCTTATTCACTACCTTATTCGGTGTGTTTGACAACGTAACATCATACTGTTACTCAGTCAATATTGATTGGATTTCTACTCCGTGGCCGACACCAGGCTGCGTATTAACTGGGATCCTCCTCATTTGCTAAGAATGTGCCAGTGGGAAGGAGAGACAGGCCTGAACAAATAAGGTAATAATTAGTTGCAATTACAAAGCTTGCCTTGATGGAGAAGTACCAGGTGACTGGAAAGCGTAGCATAGAAGATGCTAACCTGGTCTGGCTCATGTTTCATCCACCCTCTCTCTGGTTGGATACTTTGCACCCAAGAGGGTTTTAACAAATGTTGAATGGGATAAAACATTGCACGTGGTGTGGTGTAAGGTGCCTTTCTGTCTTTGCATTTGGTTTGTTTGACAATCTCTATCGTTATTTATACAGTCCACAAATAGTTACCCTGTGTTGTCAGTGTGCGTGTGTGTGTGTGTATGTGTGTGTGTGTGTGTGTGTGTGTGTGTGTGTGTTTCTGTTAAAAACAATTGAAAGTCAAATGACCTTTTGAAATGGCATTTAAATTCAACTGTATAGGACCTGAATTTGTATACGAGGTATATACTGTGAGGGAGAGTGGCAATAGATTCTAGTTTAACCTAGATGTATGCTTGACGTTGAAATAATGGGAAAGTGGGTCTCAGATACTTTTCTTAGGCATAAAAGTTTGGCACTGACACAAGAATGTAATTTCTGTAGCTTTTAGTCCAAAAAGGTGGGGGTTTTATTTCTGTGTTTGTTCTGGTATGTGAGGAATTTATTGCTTTTCACTTGAAGCTTCAGGATCGCTTAGAAAATGAGAGTGGGACAAGAGCTAAGAGAGAAGTATAACATGAGGTGGGGAAATTCTGATGAGGACATTGATGGCGAGGCAACATGTAATGCAGAAGTAGAAGAAAACATAGGAAGATGTAAAGACAAGGAAATAATCGCAGAAAACCACATACTAAACTCAGGTAAAATTCCATGGCATTTAAATTCTATGCTTAAACTTTTAAGTGGACTGTCAAAGCAACACTGAACACTTTGATTTTTAAAAAGTATTAAAATTTTAAATATTCAATCAATATGATTAACTGTGTTTCTAATAAAGGTTGTTGTGTAGGTACTATGGACTATTAAAAATTATACAAATTATACAGAAACTCTACAAATCAAACCCATCGTGATTATGTAATCTCCTTTCTTTTCCATACCCAAGTACACCTTTGAAGAGCTACCAAAGATGTGTTACCTGCTAAGATATCATTGTTTTAGCATAATGAATCTTCAGTAACCTTTAAGCTGCAGTAACAAACACAGAGACTTTTCTGTTCACATTTTCAGAAATGGAATCCCCCAAAACCTATTGAAACTTGTTATTTACAAAGATGGGTTTCAACGAGTAGAGATACCAGGAGAAACCACAACTAGAGAAAAGTGCAGCAGCATTGCTCATAGGAAGCGTTCGCACCTTACAGACATTATTTCTGTAAAGGTTAAAGAAATGCCAGCATCTGAAGCATCACTGGGCAGCCCCAGTGATTCCTGTAGACTGAGGCATGGTTTCTAGGGGTGGCCAGTCTCTTCTTTCACTCCAAGAGACAAAGAACGGAGCCCAGCTGCATACCTGTGCACACCTGCACACTCCTCTTTATCCCAGGACGGTAAAATCTGTTCCCAAACCAGTCCAGCTTCTCAGGGTGGCAAGTCTCTGTCTCCCTCCCTCTCTCCCTCCCTCTCTCTCTCCTGTGTTGTTCTATCTACAGTTCCATCTGAGGCAGGAATTGTATCAGTCTCAAGAGTCCTTGGCCTCATGTTTTATACGCTATTCTAACTTGCTTGTGTCTGTGCTATCTTGCATTGCACTGGCAACATGTGCTCCCTTACTTGTGGCTTCTTAGCTATTATTGACTCACTAGAGGCCCGTTGCACGAAGATTCGCGCAATAGGCCTTCCTTCCCCTGGCTGTCGGCCCCGGTTTTCTTCCGGCACCCGGGACCCAGGCCTTTGGTCCGGCCGCAGCGGAGAAGCCAAGCCTCTTCAGTCTTCAGTCATCTTCAGTCTTTGCTCCGCGCCTGTGTATGCAAATTAACCCGCCATCTTTGTTGGGTTGATTTGCATACCATCCTGATTGGCTGGTGGGTATAGCAGAGTGACGACCAATTTACATATTTCTCTTTTATTAGTGTAGATGACCTTGCCTCTCTAGCTCTCCTATGCTGGCTTGTTTTCCTGTTCTCCATTCTGAACTCATCCTAAGAACTAAAGGAATTGGCAGATTCCCTAAGCATTTCTCTTCTGGTTGTAATAAGCTGTGAGTCAGGAGCAATGCAGAAGACTTCTCTGAATGGATTGGAGCCTTGCCCGCCTGCTGTCACCATCACTATCACCATTACTGTTGTACCTGCCAGTCTGTTCCTGCTCACTAGTCCTCGCCTGGCTGTCAATCATAACGGGCATGATTTCGTTCTCCCAGGCTTTAATTTGGTGCTTTAAATTATGGGTTTATTTATTCTCTCCTTGCTGTGAAATTATAGGCACTTTCCATAGTAACAGTATCTCTATAGCTATGGAGACACAAAGCAAGCCTTTCCATAATGAAGAAAAGAAAAAAATATATAAACATTATATGATAATTTTCATATTAAGGAAAAATATTAAGCAGAAATAATTGAATGACCGTCATATGACTTCCACCAGGCTTTCTAACTACTGTTTAGAAGTTATATATACTTTAGAATTGCTATCTGAACGGCAGAAACAGCACCTGGT